CTTCCTTCCTTTCTTTCTTTCTTTTTTTCTTTCTCTCACTCTGTTGCCAGCCTGGAGTGCAGTGGCATGATCTCGGCTCACTGCAACCTCTGCCTCCTGGGTTCAAGCAATTCCCCTGCCTCAGCCTTTCAAGTAGTTGGGACTACAGGTACGCGCCACCACACCTGGCTAATTTTTTGTATCTTAGTAGAGACAGGGTTTCACCGTGTTGGCCAGGTTGGTCTCGATCTTCTGACCTGGTGATCCGCCCACCTCAGCCTCCCAAAGTGCTGGAATTACAGGCGTGAGCCACCTTGCTTGACCTCGCAATCTCTTTTCTAAGACTAAATGAGGTCCCAGTGCTTGCCTGACACACAGTAGGTTCTCAATAAATGAAGCACACCTCCCATCCCCCTCCAAATAAACAGTTGTCTCTTTAAAACTAGACATGGGTGCTCAGCAGGCATGTGTTTCTCTGGGTTGGATTCATTTCATGGACAGTTGTCAAAGACTGACCTCGTTATGTTAATTTTCTGAATACTGTACTTGACTGTGTTGCAAACTAAATAGTTCAGGATTAAATGTTCTCATTTCTGAGATGTGAAGTGTTAAAACTGATCAAGAAATGAAGGCAGAATGTCTGCCCTTTGGGAGAATCATCAGCCAGTCTATGTTGCTGCCACTCTTGGCTGCCGTTTGGAATGCAGCTGTTAAGGCAGCTGTTTAACTGTTTGTCCAACTTGAAAGGACACTGCCAAATGGCAAATATTTTCTAGAACAACATTTTACTTTTGCTAAGAATAATAACACTGCATTTTATTGAGTTCCAATGGTATGCCAAACATGACAGATTTATTACTAGTCAGGTTCACAGCATGGACTGAACGTGGATGATCATTTCCATTTTTAATATATTGAGAATAAGAATAAATGGCTCCCAAAGGAAGCCTCTATACAAAACATCTCTACAGCTTAATTATTTGTTGAAATGACAGCAGATTAACTTGAAAAAATGAAACATCTCTGAAAGAAAAGATGAGAATCTAGAAATATCAAAGGAAAAAAAGAAGGTTTAAGTATTTTAAATCTCTCTAATGTGGCCTAAGAAAGACTTAACCTACTTGTCCAGGACAGGTAAGGTCAGCAGTAATACAAGGAAATACTTCATCTATTGAATCCCCTGCAATTTATGGGTCCCAGGACTTCTGAGTCATGCAGTTAATATACATTGTTAATTAGAATGTTAACACTAAGTACTTACTAAACAATAATGTTGAATTTAACAGACTGTGAACAAGGTAAGCTGGGGTGGTAGGTTATCAGCTGTTATTTAATGGTAAAACCAGTATGCTAAATGTAGACAGTCAAAATTAAGAAAACACATTCAAATGCATAAGTACAATTTTCTATTAGAAGTCAGCAACAACTGCCACTCACAGCAGTTAGTGTGTAATCCTCACAAATATTTGTCAAGACTGCAGAGGTGAGGGGTGGTGGGGGGGGATGCATTCTCACTTATTAAACCTCAAGAGACAGAGCCAGAGCAGAGATATTTTTGAAGGTGAACTGGGCTAATCAAAGGCATGGCCAATGAAGATTCTAACCTACTTTTTCTCTACTGTTTACTAGATGTTAATTAAACTACAAACAGCCTAACCTGGCTGTTTCTTCAAATTGCAAAAGCATGCGTTACTACAGAGTAGACATGATTTATTGGACAAAGATAGACAAAGCTCCACATGCTGGGTAATGGTCACTGAGGACATCAAGCTTTGTGATCCTCTTTTTCAGGGATACAGAAAAACAGCAAATGCAAATCTTGGATGAAATTTACAAGATCACTTCCACAGAAAGAGTCCAGTTGTTGGAGAAAAACTGGCTGTGCAACTGACTGAACTGAGGTCTGAGACAGAAGAGCTGGGAGCTCTTCCTGGAACAGCTAATCAAGTTTACAGGTAAATAGTGGCAGTGAGAAGGTGTGCTCTTCAGGGGCTTTACCCCTCACTCTCACTCCATAATCTCCATCAGCGCCCTCTCTTCTTTTTACCTGGACAATTGACACTATCTCAAGTTCAGATAAATAGTGTACAATGGCAGTTTCAGGTACCCATTTCTAATCTGATTGCTGCCTCTAAGATTTTTCTATATTCTAGATTTGTTAAGACAGATCCAAGCAAATGTCTTACCAAAGAAAATGTAAACGTGTTTTTACATGTTCACTAATGCTATTGTCTTAAAGTTACAGAAGCTATAATACAAATCATACTTAATGAAAGGAGATCTCATTTTATCCAATAATATTTTAATTGAATTTGATCTTGATTTTGGTGAGAAATTTAAAAGCTGAAATAATGCTAGGTATTTGGTAATACATTATGCAAAACAATGTTCGGTGAGTGTTACCAGCACTGTAGATTCTTGCTGTCTCCCAGGATAGAAATCAACAGAGATCACCAAACAGAGCAGCAAAGTGAAGTTTATTCAGCTTGCGCACAAGGGAGCCAGCACCAATAAAAGAAAAGGAAAGAGCTGCTCCCCCAGGGTAGTGTATGGGTTAGTTTTATAGGATCTTTTGATAGAGAAGGGTTACATCAGGGCATATATAGGAGGGGTTTTTCTAGTGCTTGCGCACTTGCTCAATATGCTTCTTGATACATCAGATGTAGCATTAGTATTTTAAATGTTCACCCCAAGCGTTATTCTTAGCACAAAAATGAGGAAGGGGTAATTGTAGGTTGAGTTTGAGTTCTAACATGTGGGACTTCACGGAAGTCTCTAGCCCCCCAAAGTAGGAACTTGCGGTTAATAATTTCTTGGGTCTTTTGCTACTGATTTGCGGAGAGTTAAGTAAGCTAGAGCTTCAGTAGGGGCTTCTGTTCTTCTCTAGAGTAGATCACAACCGGAAGCCCGTCAGCCTGTTTCATTAGGAGCTCTTCTATAGGTAAATGCTGCCAACAACAGTGATCAAGTTCTTGTAGAGAAACGAGAGACACAGATCAGCCCCTAATGGCAAGTCTCATGGGCCCAGGACCTTCATATTCCTCTGTTTTTGTGACTGCCACAATTGATCAAAGGAAACAGTATGAGAACCATGGTAGGTTGAATAATTGAGAAAACACAATGTGGGTGGTGAGAAGTTGGGAGAGATCAGAAGATGCAGTAAGCAGGTGAATTCGTATTTCATTCCAAAGACAATTCTGAAGAACCAGCATTTCATATGTTTTTAAATTAGTATTTAAAACCACTAGGTGTCTGAAGGCAATCAGATTGTGTGATGAGATGGAAAGATCATGGAACCCTGCAAGTCATAATCTCTCTCAACTTTGGTTTCTTTATTTGAAAAACAAGGTTAAAAATATATACCTTGCCTATCTACATAAGGTCGTGAGGATAATGAGATGATGCACGTCAAAGTATTTTTAAACAAGAAAACACAATGCAAAGATCAAGTGTTGATATTATTGTGATTTAAATGTCAGAATGTCAGGCAAGCGACTCCCCAGTGTACACTGGGATAAGAAAGGCTTTCTGATGTCTCTTAGAATAGAGTGATGGGAAATCCTGGATAGCCTTATTTGTCTACTCCCCCAAACCACACAATACTGCACATGGAAGAATCTGTTAGTCTAACAAATACTTCTTGAGCACCTTCTGTTTTCCAGGAGCTGTGCTAGGTTCTAGAGTCCAAGGGATACGGAAATATCTACTCCTGATATTCACTTTAACATTCTCATTCTAGTAGCCTGAAAAATCTATTGAGGTCTTCAGGAGAACTGTGTGTCTTAATCATTTTTCCTTCCTTCCTTTTTTTTTTTTTTTCATCTTTTCCCTCGTTTTACTCCACAAACCGAAGACTTTGCAGTGGTTGTTTCATAAATTCTTGCTGAATGAATAAATGAATGAATGTATGTTGAATGAACAAGGCTTGATGAACATACGAGTAAATCTTTTTGCAGGTTGATGTATACATTATTTATGTACACCAGTCTCTTCTGGGTCATCCACAGGCACTTGGAGGTTCAGTGAGAGGAAAGACAAGATCTGAGTGAGAGAGGGGCTGAGTAGTTAAGCCCATGACCCTCCCCATCTCCCAATATGTCAAAGATAAGGAGACAAGAGGGCAGGGGAAAGTTTCTTCTGTTTCTCTAACTGCTTGGTAATAAGGTAATAAGTAATCCCTTTTTTGGTTCATTACTCGTTCCCCACGGCCACGAGGCTGCAACCAGTTTTCAGTACACAGAAATTATGCCTTATGTTTATTACCGCTTTTATTCTCAAAACCCTTTCAGAGCTCCCTCTTTTTTTTTCCATTAAAGCCAAGATGTTAGGAAATAAGAGGGGCATTATCTCCAACCTCAGGGGTGGAAATTTGACACAATTTGTCTAAATGGGTTGCTGAGGCTCACTTGGCTGATTAATTTCTTGACAGTCAGCCTGGGGTTCTTTTCACAGAACCACTGCCTGCAGCGAGGGAAATTGCTGGCAAGTGTACAAACCAACAGTGTAAGTTTTATCTTCCCTTAAAACTTACCTGGGAACTGATAGGGCCATATGAACAATATTAACCTAAATGTCACTGCTTACTCCTCCTTCATAATCTCTAGGTGGTTTCTCACCTGTGTTCCAGAATGACCTGCTGTGGCCCCTTGCCAATGTCTGCAAAATACTATCTTGAGAAAGTGATGTCTGCATCAGGGTTGCTGTTTCCTGATGTTTCCAAAGCTGCCAAACCTTGGGATACCTTTTTTTTTTTTTTTTTTTTTTTTTTTTTTTTTTTNTTTTGAGACGGAGTCTTGTTCTGTCACCAGGCTGGAATGCAGTGGCGCAATCTCAGCTCACTGCAACCTCTGCTTCCTGGGTTCAAGCGATTCTTCTGCCTCAGCCTCCCGAGTAGCTGGGACCACAGACACATGCCACCATGCCTGGCTATTTTTTGTATTTTTAGTAGAGACGGGGTTTCACCATGTTGACCAGGATGGTCTTGATCTCTTGACCTCGTGATCCGCCCACCTTGGCCTCCCAAAGTGCTGGGATTACAGGCGTGAGCTACTGCACCCGGCCACCTTGGGATATATCTTATCCCTAATGTGGAGCGCTCTGCTGTTCCTGACCCAGGGTCCCACCCTCTTGACAGGTGATTCCACAGCTTGTGCCTGCTTGTATCAGAGTCCATGGTAAAAACAACAACTCCTCACAACTGGCCATGTACAGGAATCCACAAGGCTGCTTAAACAGGCACTTCTGCTATAAATGTTTTTCCTAGGAATCAGTAATTTTCCTAAAGCAGTCAGTTTGGTTAAAATAATTCCTGAAGAATTTCATGTTTAATATTTGAGAGTTATTCCCCACCCCCCAACAGATAATTCATCAAGAACACAAAAATAAAAGCATTTTGTTTTAAATTACACAAAGCTGGTTTTGTGTGACAACTAGGTGAAAATGGGATCTGATAGGCACAATATTTGTCAGAGATAAGGTTGCTGGAGGGACAGGTGGGGAAATAAAAATCCTCACCATTGTATCCCTCCCTATACTCTGCAGTAGGAAATAGTGAGGTGAATCAAAGGTAGACAGACATACTATGTTTGTATGGGGAGGAGAGAGAAGAATTGACACAGGGAAATGTTTAACAAACATGCTAATCAAAGAAGAATCAAAAAAGATTCTGACCAAAACAAAAGGATATGGCCTTTGCATGCCCTCAATAATCCAGTATAATATGATATACTTATTCAGAAATGAGCAGTTGTGAAGAGTTACAGATTAATCATGGCCTATCTATAATCTGGTCTATTACAGCTTCTGTAATTACCACTCCTATTGCATAAATCTTTCTGCAGCTCTGTTCAAATGCCAAAGGACATTTATTACTTTAGAAGAGAGAAGGAAATGGCACTGAAGAAAACCTTACAGGTGAGTAGGAGAGTGGGCTATTTCAATACAACAGTAAGTTTGATTTTGCTGACTTGGTAACTTTTAGCAGAAACAGTTGATTTTTGCAGACAAACAGCTGATGCTATTACCAGTATTTGTAAGAAGAGAACAGTCCACTATTCAGTGTAACCACTGGATCAGAGCAGGCCATTTTTTCCTTGGAAATATCTGATTTTGTGATATTTGAAATTTTACAGTTCTTTAATTTGGGATGTTAAAACTTAGTTATTTGGGTTTAGGTGGCTGAGTCGGAGCCCCTTGTTGTTCAGGCAGACATCATGCAGAGGGAGCTAGAGAGCTGCCTAAGAGAGTACACCCCTGAAAATTTACCTTTGCTTCTGTTGCAGGTAAAAGTGATTTTGCAATTTGAAAAATTCATCTGAAATTTAGTAGAAATGTATGGACAAAGCTGGCTTTTTTTTTTCCTCGACATGTTTAGTTTGCAGAACTTGGTAAGTGTAAATGCTATTCTTTGTTAGAGATCTATTCCATAGTTTTAAATTTGGCTTAAAGGAACCAAACAATTGACTGAATTTCCACTAAATACTTTCTGTGTTGATAATATAGGGCAGTCTGACATTGACTAGGACAGTTCCAGCCCTTAAAAAGCTATTGGCTATGGCCAGACATGGTGGTTCATACCTGTGATCCCAGCACATTGGGAGGCCGAAGCGGGCAGATCACTTGAAGTTAGGAGTTCAAGACCAGCGTGGCCAATATGGTGAAACCCCATCTCTACTAAAAATACAAAACTTAGCTGGGCATGGTGGCACACGCCTGTAGTTCCAGCTACTCAGGAGGCTGATGCAGGAGAATCGCTTGAACCCAGGAGGCAGAGGTTGCTGCAATCTCAGATTCTGTCTCAAAAAATAGAAAAGAAAAGAAAAGCTATTTGGTAACCTAAAGAAGACATTTCTGAGAAAAATTATTTTATTTTATTTTATTTTATTTTAATTCACCATGTTGGCCAGGCTGGTTTTGAACCCCTGTCCTCAAGTGATCTGCCTGACTTGGCCTCCCAAAATGCTGGGATTATAGCTGTGAGCTACTGTGCCCGGCCCTGGAAATTTCTATTAAGAAAATATCTCAAGACATGGGAAAAAGAGTTTTCCATAAAGATTATTATTGCAGCATTATAATAAAAGCTAAAAATTAGAATTGCCTAAATATCCACCAATAAGAGAAAGAGTTAAGGAAAACAGTATAGTACTTGGTAGAATATTATTCTGCCATTAAACATTTTTTATTGTTAAATTAAGTTTAGCTTAAAGCTGCCTCTTTGTAAGCTCAGAAACCTTGGTCTCCCTACATAGTGACCTGTAACCTAACTGGACTGTAAATAGACTATAACCTACTCTTTTAACAAGTAACTGAGTCTAGCCAATCACAGAAGCCATACTTCAGCCACTTGCAAGCAGCCAGCTGTTCAGACTGTTCAAATAAGTCAAACACTGAGCTTTAACCAATTTGGCTGTTTCTGTACCTCACTTCTGTTTTCTGTTACTTCACTTTCCTTTTTCTGTCCATGAATCCTCTTTCACTGTGCAGCAATGCTAGACTCTCTGAACTTACTCTGGTTGGGGGCTAGGAGGACTGCCCAATTCATGAATTGTTCTTTGCTTAAACTCTGTTAAATTTAATTGGCCTAAAGTTTTTCTTTTAACTAATGTTAAAATAAAATTATTACATATACTTCATATATAATAATTCCTTATTTAATATATGATTATTCCTTATGCATGATGGCATTCCTTATATGCCACCATGCATAAGGAATAATTATATATGAAGTATTAGTTAATAAAAACTAATGAGTGTATGTATGTGTGTCATAATAATGGTCAAGTATGTATAGGAAAAGAAAAATCACTTGACGGACTTAGACCAAATGTTAACGAATGTTATGTTTGGATGGCAGGATAATGAAATTCCCCTATCTACTTTTATATGTTTGCTAAATTTTCTGTAAGAAGTATATATTATTTCAATTTTAAAATTCCTTGTTCTCTATTCCTATGTTACCTATGCATACAAATTAGTTCTTTAGCAACTAGTTAGGAATGAACTATTGTGTCATATGTCACTTATGCATACAAATTAGCTCTTTAGCAACTAGTTTGGAATTAACTATTAAATTAATCACAAAGAAACAAAAGATATTGAGATGCTATTTGCAAGTTAAACTGTTGTCATTGTCTTCCTTCAGGATTCTCTTTCCAGTCGCTTCCGGCATTCTTCATTCCTTTGTGTATATCAGTGTTTCTCAATGGAGAGAGAGGAGGGGTAGAGATAGAAGATATTTTGTGCCTCAAGGGACATTTGGAAATGTCTGGGGATATTTCTTGTTGTCACAATTTGGGTGAGGGGTATGACTGGTTGCTACTAGCATTGAGTAGACGTCAGGGAAGCTGCTAAACATTCTACAATGCACAGGGCAGCCTCTCACAACAAATAATTATCTAGTCCCAAATGTCAATAGTTGCTGAGGTTGAGAAACTAGTATTATCTAAACTTCCATAGGATATCATTTGCCTTCTCTCTGAAGAATTTTCTTTAGCATTTCTGGTAGTTCAGGTCTACCAGGGACAAATTCTCATAGTCTTTGTTGTTTTGAAGTATTTCCCCTTCATTTTGGAAAGATATTTTTGTTCAACATAGAATTCTGAGTTGGTGGGTTTTTTTATTGCTTTAAAGATATTGCTCCATTGCCTTTGGCTTACATAGTTTCCAATTATTTTCTTTCTTTCTTTCCTTTCTTTTCATTTTTTTCTTTCTTTTCAAGGTAACAGCTTTATTTTCATTGATATTTAGTTTACACACATTTTTGCAATTAATATTAATTATACAAAAAATATAAAACATGACATTTTAAAATAGAACTGTGGAATAGTTTGACTTTTGTCACTACTATATGTAAGTACACATGTTTATTCATAAGCTAAAAGGAAATTCAAATGTATGTCATAATAGGAAAGAGCATTTTACTAATTTAAGCGTTTTTTTTTTTTTTTTCTGTCAACCTCTAACCATTTGCTTACTTGAACTAATGGGATATGGTTTGGCTGTGTCCCCACCCAAATCTCATCTTGAATTGTAGCTCCCATAATTCCATGTGTTGTGAGAGGGACTCAGTGGGAGATAATTGAATCAAGGGGGTGGGTCTTTCCCATGCTGTTCTTATGATAATAAGATCTTGGCTCACTACAACCTCCACCTCCCAGGTTCAAGCAATTCTCCTGCCTCAGCCTCCCAAGTAGCTGGGATTACAGGCATCTGCCACCATGCCTGGCTAATTTTTGTATTTTTAGTAGAGACAGGATTTCGTCATTTTGGCCAGGCTGGTCTCCAACTCCTGACCTCGTAATCAACCCACCTCGGCCTCCCAAAGTGCTGGGATTATAGACATGAGCCACCATGCCCAGCTGATCTGATGGTTTTACAAAGGAGAGTTCACCTACATATATCCTCCTGCCTGCCACGATGTAAGGCTTCCCTTTGCTTTTTCTTTGTCTTCTGTCATGATTGTGAGGCCTCCCCAGCCATGTGGAACTGTGAGTCAATTAAATATCTTTCCTTTATAAATTGTCCAGTCTTGGATATGTCTTTATTAGCAGCATGATAATGGACTAATACAGTAAATTTGTACGGTTAGAATTGGGTACTGCTGTAAAGTTATTTGAAAATGTGGAAGAAACTTTGGAACTGGGTAACAGGCAGAGGCTGGGACAGTTTGGAGGACTCAGAAGAAGACAGAAAAATGTTGGAAAGTTTGGAACTTACTAGAGACTTGTTAAAGGGCTTTGACCAAAATGCTGATCGTGATATGGACAATAAAGTCCAGGCTGAGGTGGTCTCAGATGGAGATGAGGAACTTATTAGGAACTGGAGCAAAGGTGATTCTTGCTATGTTTTAGCAAAGAGACTGGTGGCATTTTGCCCTTGCCCTAGAGATCTATGGAACTGTCAACTTGAGAGAGATGATTTAGGGCCTCTAGCAGAAGAAATCTGTAAGCAGCAAAGCTTTCATGAGGTGAGTTGGGTGCTGTTAAAAACATTCAGTTTTATGTATTCACAAAGATATAGTTTGGAACTTATGTTTTAAAGGGAAGCAGAGCATAAAAGTTCAGAAAATTTGCAGTCTGATGATGTGATAGAAAAGAAAAACCCATTTTCTGAGGAGAAATCCAAGCTGGCTGCAGAAATTTGCATAAATGACGAGCCAAATGTTAATTGGCAAGACAATAGGGAAAATGTTTTCAGGGCATGTCAGATGTCAGGGCAGCCCCTCCCATCACAGGCCTGGAGGCCTAGGAGGTTTCCTGAGCTGGGCCTAGGGCCTTGCTGCTTTGTGTAGTCTTGGTAATTGGTGCCCTGAGTCCCAGGTGTGGCTAAAAGGGGCCAATGTAGAGCTCAGGCCATTGCTTCGGAGAGTGTAAGCCCCAAGTCTTGGCAGCTTCCACACTGTGTTGAGCCTGCAGGTGTACAGAAGTCAAGAATTGAGGTTTGGGAATTTCCACTTAGATTTCAGATGATGTGTGGAAGTGCCTGGATGTCCAGGCAAAAGTTTTCTGCAGGGGCAGAGCCCTCATGGAGAACCTCTGCTAGAGCTATGTGGAAAGGAAATGTGGGGTCAGAGCCCCTACACAGAGTCCCCACTGGGGCACTATCTAGTACAGCTGTGAGAAGAGGGACACGATCCTCCAGACCCCAGAATGGTGGATCCACTAACAGCTTTCACCATGCACCTGGAAAAGCTGCAGACACTCAATGCCAGCCTGTGAAAGCAGTCAGGAGACGAACTGTATCTTGCAAAACCACAGAGGCAAAGCTGCCCAAGATCATGGGAACCCATCTCTGGCATCAGTGTGACCTGGATGTGAGTCATGAATCAAAGGAGATCATTTTGGAGCTTTAAGATTTGACTGCCCTGCTGGATTTCAGAATTGCATGGGGCCTGTTGCCCCTTCGTTTTGGTCAATTCCTCCCATTTGGAATAGGTACATTTACCCAATGCCTGTACCTCCATTACATCTGGGAAGTAACTAACTTGCTTTTGATTTTACAAGCTCATAGGCAGAAGGGACTTGCCTTGTCTCAGATGACACTTTGGACTGTGGACTTTTGAGTTAATGCTGAAATGAGTTAAGACTTTGGGGGACTGTTGGGAAGATATGTTTGGTTTTGTAATGTGAGGGCATGAGGGTTGGGAGGGGCCAGGGGCTGAATGAAATGGTTTGGCTTGTATCCTCAACCAAATATCATCTTGAATTATTACTTCCATAATTCCCATGTGTCATAGGAGGGACACAGTGGGAGGTAATTGAATCATAGGGGCCAGTCTTATCCATGCTGTTCTCATGATGGTGAATAAGTCTCATGAGATCTGATGGTTTTATAAAGCCACATTCTCCTGCACACATCCTCTTGACTACCACCATGTAAGATGTGCCCTTCCCCTCCTTTGCCTTCTGCCTTGATTGTGAGACCTCCCCAGCCATGTAGAACTGTGAGTCCATTAAACCTCTTTTGCTTTATAAATTACTCAGTCTTGGGTATGTCTTTATTAGCATTGTGAGAACTGACTAATGTGTAATGTTTCCATGGTTCATCTTGGTCACAGGCATTGACCAGCAAAAGTCTTTGCATTTCACAGATACATTAAAACCTACATTATCAACAAAATCCCAAGTAATTTTTTTTGATATTTTATTCTTTTTAAAATATTTTCAACTTTTGTTTTAGATTCAGGGGTACGTATGCAGGTTTGTTACCTGGGTGTATTGTGTAATGCTGAGGACTGAGGTACAATTGATCCTATCACCCAGGTAGTGAGCATAGCACTCAGTGGGTAGTTTTTCGACTCCTACTCCCCCTTACTCCCTCCCCTCTATAGTAGTTCCCAGTTTCTATTGTTCCCATCTTTATGTTTATGTGTACCCGAAGTTTAGCTCCCACTTATAAGTGAGAACATGTAATATCTGAGTTTCTGTTTCTGTATTAATTAACTTAGGATAATGGCCTCCAGCTGCATCCATGTTGCTGCAAAGGACATGATTTCATTCTTTTGTATGTAGTTTCTATTTCTGATCATAGTGTACCATTTTATTCTCTGGCTGCTTTTAAGATTTTTTTTTATCAATGGTTTTTTGATATTTTATTATGATGTGTGTTGAAGTTTCCTTTGTGTTTCTCTTGCTGGGGGTTAGTTGAACTTCTTGCATTGTGGGTTTATGGTTTTATTATCAGTTTTTGAAAAACTTCAACCATTATTTTTTCAAATATATTTTCTGCCAGCACTTCTCTTTCTGAAATCCAGTTATGCATTTGTTAAACACTTCATATTGTTTCATAGATCATTAAGACTACTAATTTTCTTCAGTCTTTTTCCCTCTCCAGTGCTTTGTTTTGTATAGTTCCTATTGCTATGTCTTCAAGTTTATCAACTTTTTCTTATGAATGATCTAATCTACTTTTAATCCCATCCAGTCAGTGTTTCATTTCAGGTATTGTATTTTTCATTTCTAGAAGTTCCCATTTGATTTGTTTTGATATTTTCCATTTCTTTCCTTATTATGTTCACATTTTCTTTTCTTATTCTTTTTCTAATTTTTTTGAGACAGAGTCTCACTCTGTTGCCCAGGCTGGAGTGCAAAGGCTTGATTTCAGCTCACTGCAATCTCTGCCTCCTGGGTTCAAGTGATTCTCATGCTTTGGCCTCCCAAGCTGGGATTACAGACACGCACCACCACACTCAGCTAATTTTTGTATTTTTAGTAGAGACAGAGTTTCACTATGTTGGCTAGGCCCGTCTTGAATTCCTGGCCTCAAGTGATCCTCCCACCTCAGCCTCCCAAAGTGCTGGGATCACAGGCATGAGCCACTGTGATCAGCCTATGTTCACATGTTCCTTTCAATCCTTGAACATACTAAGCATATTTATAGTAGTTCTTTAAAAATTCTTTTTTGTAGCTTTCATCACCTCTGTCATTTCTGGGCCTGTTTCTCATCCCTAATTTTTCTTTTGCTTTTGGATTATGCTTTCCTCTTTCTTTGCATATCTAGTAATTTTTTACTGAATGCTGAAAATTGTCAATTTTTCATTATTAAGTACCAGATTTTTTTAATTATTTAGAGGTTGTTGGACTTTATTCTGGTAGGCAGTTAAGTTACTTACAGGTCAGCTTAATCCTTTCAAGGCTTAAGGATTGTTGGAGCAGGTTTAGAATAATCATTACTCTAGGCATAGTTTATCCTTTTACTAAAGCTTTTGATGTCTCTACTAAATGTCCCAGATATTCAATGAAAAGCCCTCACTCTAGCTGGTTGGACTTGAACATCTCTCAGCCTCATATGAACTCGGAACTGTTCAGTTTACAATTCCCTAGTCAGTTAATTTTTGGACAGCTTCCTGGAATTTCACCTTCTACACGTATGGCTTAGTATTCAGCAACAGACTGAAAGGGTTCTCTATGCAGAGTTCTAGAATCCTTTCTTTGCATAGCTTCCTTCTCTTCTGTAAACTTCAGCTGATTCAATTTCCCAAATTTCAATGTCTCTTTCCTTAACTCAGAGAGATCATCTACTCTGCTTATGATTCCCTTTCTTGCTCCATGGCTTAGAAACTGCCTTCAGGTAGGAAATCAAGGTGATTGCAGGGCCTACATGATTTGTTTCCTTCTCTCAGGGACCAGAGCCCTGCATTGCCTGTTGTCCAGTGTCAGAAAACAGTTCCCTTGTATATTGTGTCCAATTTTCTAGTCGTTTATGATAGAAGGGTTAGTCTGGTTCTGGTAATTCCATCATAGCCAGTATTATATTTATTATCAGAAAAAAAACCTTTAAAATAATTAATAATTTTTAAGTATAAATAAAATTTCTGATCTGAGGTTATAAGCTATAATCTTACTGTAATATACTCTGTATTTTTGACTCATAACTTCAGTTTTTAATTAAAAAATTTTAGGCTCAGCTTTAGATAACTTGACAGACTTTTATGTCACTGCTAAAATTGTGTGGTAACTGAGAAATTAGCTTAAATCTATTTACTTGGCAACAGATCGTAACAACTTGGAAATGTCTACTCACGTTATTTAAATTTGAATATTATCTTGAGCTAGACTTCTATGTTTTTTTGAGATGGAGTTTCACTTTTGTTGCCCAGGCTGGAGTGCAATGGTGCAATCTCAGCTCACTGCAACCTCTGACTCCAGGGTTCAAGTGATTCTCCTGCCTCAGCCTCCCAAGTAGCTGATATTATAGGCACCTGCCACCATGCCCAGCTAATTTCAGCTAATTTTTGTATTTTTAGTAGAGACGGGGTTTCACTATGTTGGCCAGGCTGGTCTCGAACTCTTGACTTCTGGTGATCCACCCGCCTTGGCCTCCCAAAATGCTTGGATTACAGGCATGAGCCACTGCGCGCAGCCGAGCCAGACTTCTTAATTTTATGGTCTTCATGTAGAAAAATACATATTTCCAAAACAACCAGAGACTGATTTTCCTATTGTTAGTGTTCTTAAGACTTTATTCAGTCTTCCTTCTCTAAGTGCTTATTTTTCTTTTTGTTAAAGTATTACACAGAAAGAATTACCCAGCTGGTCCAGAGTAAATATTTATACATGCTTAGGTGGAAGAGGTTTTGCCAACACAGTAAGATCATTGAGCAACTTTATCCTCTTTACAAGGTAGGAAGTCTATGAAGAGAACCTCTGGGCTATTTTTTAATATTGAAACAAAACGGCCAATAAGCTTGTCAGTTTTTTAAAAGTCACAGCTAAAGATAGAAAATAAACTAATGGATGTGCCTTTTCACCTGTTCTACCAACGGCAGTAGGTAATGGTAAAGGTAATCTACTCATAAGAATGAGATTTGAAGGAAGTTTTGTATGAGAGGAAACACATTTTTCTTCATAGACTTGGCTTCCTCAACCTTAGGTAAAAATTTCAGAAGCTGACTCCAGTGCATATTCCTAAGCACTGACTCTTTGCTTAGAGTCTGTCTCCTACAAAGTCCTAGGAATATGACCACTGCCCTTATAAGTCAAATTTAGAATATGGAAGAACTTTGGGATTCAAAGGGCCCCTTTATTTAGACCCAAAACAACATTACCCTATGCTTGGAAGCAAATGATGCAGAGCATAAGGCTTGCAAATAATCAAGTTCTATCTTTGTATCTCTCTTAAACAGAAACAAGTTGGCTACATTATGCAGGAGAACAATGATGTCCTTCAGAGAGCTGAAAGATTATCTGTTGCTGGAGAAAACTTCCTCATGGGGAAAAACAATCCTCCTAACTTAGTGACACAGGAAGATCTTACTATTTACACAAAGTGGTTAGTGTGCCACCTGCACTCTCTCAGGACTGTGCACCACTACCTGCAGGTGTGTGAAACCCAGTGATGTGATGATGTGGTACCCTTAAAGGGATGATCAGTACATTGTTTTCTCATATCTGTCACTTAGTTTTAGATTGTCACTGTTTCAGGACTCCACCTGCCCTACAAATGACAGAAAAATAATGGACCATTGGATTTCTTCTTTGAAACCTTAGAAACCAACTTGTTTCTGTTTAAGAGAGATACAAAGATAGAACTTGATTATTTGCAACTTTTCTTTTGAAACTTTATTTTACTGAAATAATTAATTTAGCATTCTCAAAGATGTCTCTTTGAGATATGTACTGTTTCATATTTACTCTGTAAGTTCTTGTCTTCATCATTTTGTTCAGGATTTATGCTCTCTGATTTATATCTACTTTTTAAATATTAGGCAATGCTCAATGAGGGTCTAATATGTGCCAGGTACTTGTCCTAGGAATGCAGCAAAGATACGGCCTTTGCTAAAAGTAACTGGGTCCTAGGCTGGTAGGAGATGGGTAGGTAAATATTCAACTGAAATACAATGGGGTAAAAAACAACAGGATATGTGTAAGCACAGGGTAAAGAGTGTCACAGAGAGGCCCTAAGTCAGGCTAGAGGCATCAGAAAGGAGGAGCATGATCACATTTCCATTTCAGAAAGATTTTCTACCAACATCTTTTCCTACTTCTCTGCCTTAGCTCAGAGACACCATCACCCACGGAATTGCCCAAATCAGAAACCTGGCCATCATCCTGGCTTCATCCTTTCCCCGTACCCCAGAAAATACCCCATAAAATCACGATGGGCTTTATCTCTGATACATTTCTCACCCAGTCACATGGTGTTATAATGATCTGCTTGTAAGCCTGGATCTTCTAGTAAACCATGAGCTCGTTGAGGTTGTATCCTGTCTTATTCCTCTTTGTATCCCCAGCACCTGACACAGTGCCTTGTTCATTTTGGGTGCTTGATCAAAGTAGACCTGTCTGGAGGTTAAGGCCATTCACAGTCAGTAACAGTACTAGGTCTCCCAGCTCCAAATGGAGCCCCTCATCATTGGACAGGGGCTCCACCTCTACTTCTCTTCTCTCCCAAAGCAAAGGGCTGCTCCTGAATCTGAGTCTGGAAACTTCTGTGAGAACTGTGTTGATATTTGGCCTCTTGGTCTTGCCCTTCTATAGGCCCTTTAGTATTTGCCAATCTCCCAAGTGCTGAATGTAGCTGCCAACCAAGTCCTTGAAGTTGGTCAGGAAAATGAAAAGGTCTGTGTCAATGATATTGACCCTGACATTCAGTGTTCTGCATCTCCTAACTCTGTGGATACCAGCATTTTTGGTAAGAAATTAGTCTTCTTTCCCCAGGGTAATGTGGAGCAAAGAAGATTATAATTTTAGACTTACGCTGGTTGTCCCATGCTCTTGCTAAAAATTGTTCTATATACTTAAAGGTATATATAGAATGTATAAATATACTTCCATATATATATATACATTCTATATATACTTTTTATATTCTTAATAAACAAGTCTTAATTTAATATCTTCTGATGGGAAAAAGGAACAAACACTTTTTTAGATATGTTTTAATCTCTATCTTTATAATTAGCAAATTAAGAGTGAGAGAAAAAGATGGAGTTGAAGTCAGCAGTACTGGGCTCTAGGCTTGTTCCTGTCCTGGCTCCCTGTGGCCTGCAGTTCATCTCCTTGGGCCTCTATTTGGTCATCTCCATAATAAATCTTTCAGAATCAGTGATCTCCAAGGCTCCTTCCAGTTTTAGTTATTTCTATTTCTATTTATTATTATTATTTTTTGAGACAGAGTCTCAGTCTTTTGCCCAGGCTGGAGTGCAGTGGTGTGATCTCAGCTAACTATAACCTTTGCCTCCCAGATTCAAGCAATTCTGCTGCCTCAGCCTCCTGAGTAGCTGGGATTACAGGTGCGCACCACCATATCCAGCTAATTTTTTGAATTTTTATCACAGACAGGGTTTTGCCATGTTGGCCAGGCTGATCTCCAACTCCTAACCTTGTGATCCACCCACCTCGGCCTCCCAAAGTGCTGGGATTACAGGCGTGAGCCACCATGCCCAGCCCCAGTTTTCATATTACATAAATCTAAAATAATTTCCTCATCTGAATCAAATTAATGCAGTTTTCCTGCCCTTACCTTGTGTTACAGATGACTAAGAAATCTGACAAGATTTCTACTACAAGTGACATTCTTGCTTGGATGCACGGAGTGTCCCCGGAGTGCCTGGGTGAGGCAGCCAACCCTGGCTGTGGGGCATCTGAGAAGGCTTCTTGAAGGAGGGGAGTCCAAACTGGGCCCTTAGAGATAAGGGGGAGTCAGCCAGGTGAAAGCAGATGAAGTTTTCACCTTCTTCTAATTTGTTGGTTAAATTTATAAATAATATTTTTCATTTACCACAAAGGACTATAGGCAATTCTGTTCCAAGTCATTCCCAAAAAGGTCATTTGGGTTTCTCCTGTAGGCTGTGAGATGGCAAGGAGTCCTTGTTGCCTCTTACCAAAGCCCAGCTCCAAGGATTTGTCAGATCAACCTGGCCAAGTAGGGTGCAGACTATAAATTGTGGCAGAAAATGTTGTGAAAGGAGCAGAATGGGCATCCCATCAGGAGAGGAGCTCCTACTTCCAGCTCCTACTTCCATTTTCTCTCCCTTACAGTATTCATTGGTCTTAGTGCTCTTGATTCTGGTTTTCTTCAGGGCCAATGAGAACAGAAGTTGCTTTTGTCCTGCCCCAACACACAACAGAAACAGGAGAACTGAAACCTCAGATGAAGCTCCTGCTCTCCCATTTCAATATCCCATGTGACATGGAAGAGCTAAGGGACTCTGCTAAGGAAATGGAATTTTTTCCTCGGTATTCGATATATTGTTTCTTAATACAAATATAGGTGTTCATGAAAGAAAGCACTGGTATTTGCCACAAAGTTACACATTTTACTACCAACGATTGTTTCTAGAGTGATCATATAAAGTAGTAATAGATGAAATTTTGATTAGCAGTTGGGAAGTACTTCCTCTGTAAGAGTAATGGGACCCTTAAATAGTGAACCCAGATGATTGCAGAATTTTTACAAAAAAAATCTGTTTTTCTGCAGAATTTTAAGCAAAAGTAGTGTACAGTCTATAGTAGATGATGTAAAGATTTGGCAAATTTGCATGGCAGAGTTGTCAATTATCCAAAGCCCTCCAATTCTCAAAATGTATTGCAATAGCTCTTCTTATTGACAAAATGCTTTATATTATTAGAGAGTACATTGTGTAGTGATGTTTAAAATCATGCAGTCTTCTCTGCTATAACACAGTGTTGTACTTCCTGAAATAAAAACAACTCATATTATCAAAAGCCATGTTAAAACTTGTTTCAAAGGGGGCCAGGCATGGTAGCTCATGTCTGTAATCACAGCGCTTTGAGAGGCTGAAGCAGGGGATCACTTGAGCCCAGGAGTTCAAGACTAGCCCAGCTTGGGCAACATAGTGATACTCTGTCTCAAAAACAAACCAACAAACCAACAAACAAAACTTGTTTCAAAGGGAAAAATAGAACTATACTATAGGTAAATAGCTTCAGATTTTTTTTATTATATTTTAAGTCCCGAGGTACATGTGCACATCTTGCAGGATTGTTGCATAGGTACACACATGCCATGGTGGTTTGCTGCCTCCATCCCTCCATCACCTACATCAGGCATTTCTTCCAGTGTTATCCCTCCCTAACATGCCCACCCCCACTATCGCTCTCTTAGCCCCTCACCCCCCCAGCAGACTCCAGTGTGTGACATTCCTCTCCCAGTGTCCTTGTGTTCTCATTGTTCAACACCCACCTATGAGAGAGAACATGTAGTGTTTGGTTTTCTGTTCTTGTGTCACTTTGCTGAAAATGATGGTTTCCAGATTCATCCATGTCCCTGTAAAGGACATGAACTCATCTTTTTTTATGGCTGCATAGTATTCTATGGTGTATATGTGCCACATTTTCTTTATCCAGTCTATCACTGATGGGCATTTGGGTTGGTTTCAGGTCTTTGCTATTGTAAACAGTCCCGCAATGAACATATGTGTGCCTGTGTCTTTATAATAGAATGATTTATAATCCTTTGGGTATATATCTTGCAATGGGATTGCTGGGTCAAATGGTATTTCTATTTCCAGATCCTTGAGAAATCGCCACACTGTCTTCCACAGTGGTTGAACTAATTTACACTTCCACCAACAGTGTAAAAGTGTTCCTATTTCTCCACATCCTCTCCAGCATCTGTTCTCTCCACATTTTTTAATGATCACCATTCTAACTGGAGTGAGATGGTATCTCAATGTGGTTTTGATTTGCGTTTCTCTAATGACCAGTGATGATGAGCATTTTTTCATATGTTTGTTGGCCACATAAATGTCTTCTTTTGAAAAGTGTCTGTTCATATCCTGCACCCACTTTTTGATGGGGTTGTTTTTTTCTTGTAAAAACTGTTTTGTTTTGTTTTTTTTCTTGTAAATCTGTTTTACCTCTTTGTAGATTCTGGATATTAGACTTTCGTCAGATGGGTAGACTGCAAAAAAATTTTTTCCCATTCTGTTGGTTGCTGGTTCACTCTAATGATAGTTTAATTTGCTGTGCAGAAGCTCTTAAGTTTAATTAGATCCCATTTGTCTATTTTGGCTTTTGTTGTCAATGCTTTTGGTGTTTTGGTCATGAAGTCCTTGCCTACACCTATGTCCTGAATGGTTTTGCCTAGATTTTCTTCTAGGCTTTTTATGGTGCTAGGTCTTATGTTTAAATCTTTAATTTATCTGGAGTTAATTTTAGTGTAAGGTGTCAGGAAGGGGTCCAGTTTCTGCTTTCTGCACATGGCTAGCCAGCTTTCCCAACACCATTTATTGAACAGGGAATCCTTTCCCCATTGCTTGTTTTTGTCAGGTTTGTCAAAGATCAGATGGTTGTAGTTGTGTGGTGTTACTTCTGAGGCCTCTGTTCTGTTCCATTGGTCTGTATCTCTGTTTTGGTACCAGTACCGTGCTGCTTTGATTACTGAAACCCTGTAGTATAGTTTGAAGTTAGGTAGTATGATGCCTCCAGCTTTGTTCTTTTTACTTCGGATTGTCTTTGCTATGTGGGCTCTTTTTTGGTTCCATATGAAATTTAAGGTGGTTTTTTTCAGTTCTGTGAAGAAGGTCAATGGTAGCTTGATGGGGATAGCATTGAATCTATAAATTACTTTGGGTAGTATGGCCATTTTCACGATATTGATTCTTCCTAACCATGAGCATGAAATGTTTTTTCCATCTGTTTGTGTCTTCTCTTATTTCGTTGAGCAGTGGTTTGTAGTTCTCCTTGAAGAGGTCCTTTACATCCCTTGTAAATTGTATTCTTAGGTATTTTATTCTTTTTGTGGCAATTGTGAATGGGAGTTTGCTCATGAGTTGGCTCTCTATTTGTCTGTTATTGGTGTATAGGAATGCTTGTGATTTTTGCAGATTGATTTTGTATCCTGAGAATTTGCTGCAGTTGCTTATCATCTTAAGGAGATTTGGGGCTGAGACAATGGGGTCTTCTAGATATACAATCATGTCATCTGCAAATAAACCAATGAGAACAAAGATACAACGTACCAGAATCTCTGGGACACATTTAAAGCAGTGTCTAGAGGGAAATTTGTAGCACTAAATACCCATATGAGAAGTGATGAAAGATCTAAAATTGACACCCTAGCTTCAGATCTTTAAAATATTTTTTTAATATTTTAAATAAATGCTAAACAGATGGGGTCTCGCTCTGTCACCCAGGCTGGAGTACACTGGTGCAATCTTGGCTCACTGGAAACTCCGCCTCCTGGGTCCAAGCGATTCTCCTGCCTCAGCCACACCTGGCTAATTTTTGTATCTTTGGTAGAGATGGGGTTGCCAGATTGGCCAGGCTGGTCTTGAACTCTGGCCTCAGGTAATCCGCCTGCCTTGGCTTCCCAAAGTGCTGGGATTACTGGGATGAGCCACCATACCTGGCCAAGCTTCAGATTTATAATGGCAAAAGTTTCAATAATAAAGATTTTTGTAGCTCTAGCTGTATATTATTTGGAAGTATATATATTTGCTAGGTAAAAATGAGAAATTGATGGATCAAACAAAAACAAACTGAAAATTAAGAAACTGATGGATCCAAACAGGTAAAAATAAGATCTGAATGGTTTTGAATGCTCTTCAAGTAAGAAGTAAGCCGCCGTCTGTGCTATCACCTTTTGCTTGACTTTGAAATTTCACTTGCATTTGCATTTGTTCTAGCATATGCCAAAATTGTGTGTGTGTGTGTGTATGTGTGTGTGTGTGTGTGTGTGTGTGTGTGCATGCACGTGTTTGAGGCAGAGTCTTGCTCTGTCACCCAGGCTGGAGTATAGTGGCTCGATCTCCGCTCACTGCAACCTCTGCCTCCCACATTCAAGCAATTCTCCTGCCTCAGCCTCCCGAGTAGCTGGGATTGCAGGCACATGCCACTACATTCAGCTGATTTTTGTATTTTTAGTAGAGACAGGGTTTCACCATGTTGGCCAGGCTGGTCTTGAACTCCTGACCTCAAGTGATCTACCCGCCTCAGCCTCCCAGAGTGCTGGGATTACAGGTGTGAGCCACTGCGCCTGGCCCAGGATGATTTTTGTTAGTATGTAACACAGCCTCTTTAAGCTCACTGAAACCAGTGGTATCCATGTCCTCTTGTTTCCTTGAAGGTGATGATGTTTAGCTTTTGCCTTTCTTTTTATGCCACCAGCAGCACTGTCTCCAGCAGAGTGTTTCTGTGGGGGTGTCCTCACCCTAATTATCATCAAGGATTATGATAGGCAAAACACAGAATCAGAATATGGTGGTGTTTAAGTAGAACCAAAATAAATAAAAGTTAATTATAGCCCAGGAGACTATTATTAATGATAAACAGGAGAACATGAGTCTGGCGGAGCACTCCAATAAAACCACGTTGCTCCCAAAGAACAGCTTGTCTCCTTTTTATGGTGATGATTTCTACTTTCAATTTGCTTATGACAGTATTATGTGAAATACTAATCGTGTTCCAAGATAACCAATCACATTACACCAACTTTTTTGCGTAGGAAGAGCTCCTATGTTTAGGTGCTGTTTATTCTGATATTCTAATGCCTGAGAGCAGGGTCAGCAAATGACAGCCCTCACCTGGTTTTTTAAGATAGGTTGTTTTGGAATACAGCAGTCTTAAGTTCATTCAGGCTACTCTAACAAAATACCATAAACAGAGTGGCTTATAAACAACAGAAATGTATTTCTTACAGTTCTGGAGGCTGGAAAGTTCAAGATTAAGGTAGTCTGATCTCTGGCGAGGGCCCACTTTCTGGCTCACAGGTGGTGCCTTCTTACTGTGTCCTCACGTGGTTGAAGGGCAAGAGCCTCTCAGGCTTCTATAAAGGCGCTGATTCTATTCGTGAAGGCTTCACCTTCACGACCCAGTAAGCTCCCCAAATTGCCTGTCCTAATACCATTGCCTTGGGGCTAGGATTTCAACACATGAATTTTGTGGGGACACAAACATTCAGACCATAGCAACAGCCATGCCTATTCATATATGTATTGTCTATAGGTGCTTTCACACTACAACAGCAGACTTGAGTATTTGTGACTGAGACCTTATGGTCTGTAAAGGCTAAAATATCTACTGTCTGGCCCTTTAAGAAACTGCCAAGCCAGTCATAGACCGGCACACTATCTCGCTGAACTTCCTTCAGTGATGGATGTGTTCTGCTTTTGCACCATCCCATGTTAACCACTGGTCACATACACTAGTAGTTATTTGAGCACTTGGAATGTGGTTAGCACAACTGAAAAACTAGATTTCAAATTTTATTTCATTGTAATTAATTCATATTTCAATGCTAAACAGCCACATGTGGCTAGGGGCCAGAGCACTGAATAGCACAACCTCAGAGGTACCAGCATTAAGTGGAAGAACCTTCAGCTCTGTGACTCACAAATGTTCTCACTCATTCCGGAAACCTTTGTTGAGGCCCAAGTATGTGTCAGCACTGGTCAGTTCTTACTGCGTGTATGTACCTGTGCACACATGAGTGGTAAAATAACATAACAAAATTTACCATTTTAGCCGTTAAGTGTTTAGTTCAGTGGTGTTAAGTACATTCACATTGTTGTGTGGACATCACCATGTGTTGAGTTCTTGACATTCATAGTCTATGAATGGGGCTCACCATGTAGTGAGGAAATCCTGACACAACGTGGCAAGCACAGTGATGAAGGCACCACCACAGAGACCCAATCTTAAGGGAAGATGGAATGTTCAGCATTTTGACAGTAGGAATCGATGCCATAGAAAGTACTTGTAGCCTCGGTCTGAAAGTAAGCTATGAAGGGAATAGGTTGAGATGCCTTAAAGAGTTTAACAGATTCTAGCATCTGGACTCCTCTCTAGCTACATCCTCATAAGGCCTCTGAAAGCAGGATTTATTTAATCTTTAGATATTCTATAATAGTTTTATCAGGTGGTTGGAAAAAGTGAATGCATTTCCAAAGTTGGACAATTTACTTCTCATTTATATTTAGGTTCCAGTTCAAAATATATATAAATAAATACATTAATATATTTCCAATCTCTGGAGCAGACATTCAGAATAAGTAATATGCACAATTATGGTAATGAGCTGACTGAGAACATGCCCCACACAGATATGCTTTTTAAGTTCCTATCACTATCACAGAGTTGTGTTTTATAAATTAATTTGATTCCAAGGCTATTTCAAAGACAATCAGTAGCTGTTTTTGAAATTGCCCACTCTCTGAGACTTTTTTCCTGGGTTCCACTTCTCTCTTCATCCTGTTTAGGTTTCCCAAAAATTTCAAAACATCTTCATGGAGCAACAGAGAATGCAAATATTTCCAGACTATGAAGCTGCAATGGCTAAAGCAGATAATTTGGGTTTGGCAGGACCCAGTATGACCCTGAAAAAGAGAGCCAACTGGATTTCCTTCATAAAGGTAAAGAGACTCGTGGTGATAGTCATCTGTCAGTGATGTCAGCAGTGTCACAGTGTCGTCTAAGCAGGTCAGGCAGCCTGGCAGCAGCAGGTTTATGTGGTCCCTGTTGTCCCCTCTCCTTAGTGCCCTCAGCAAACCGTCCTCTTCAACTAGGGGAGATGCTTTCCTGTCCTCAGGGGAGGCAACTCTGAGAACCTGGCTTTGTGAGCCACAGTCTCCCAGCTCTTTGCCTGCCTTGGCTCTATGTTGAAGTTCGCTATGCTGATCTTCCTTCTCTGAAGGTTCTCCAGATGCCTGTACCCCACTCTAATGGGCCCAAAGTCCCTGCTTATTACTAATGATCTCAGATACTTGGCAAGAACTAAGCTTAATATCCAAGGGTGTAATTGACTTGCGTAAATCCAACTGTTGAGTCAAAAACTATTTGATACATAGTGTATGTCAGGTATGGCCCTTTGTGCTGAAGATAACACAATTCACAAACAATATGCAAGTAAGCAAACGAAATAAGATTGTTTTAGGTGGTGCTAGGTATGATCAATTCTCATTATTCGAGGTAGTTTTGTTCTAGAAAGTCATCATGAACACTGAGTGAGCAAATATTGAATCGTCACCCCTAGGGGAAATAGGGTTCTTTCCTGTGAACCTCTTGTCTGAACACTTATCAATATATAACTGTTTTACGTGTGTTTCTGTTGAAAGACATCTTATTTTAAATATATTGTTGATTTATTAACATTGAACTAATGACTAACAGCACTATAAATTCATGCCCAAATGAACCTTATCTAACACATGTATTTTTTCCAAAAGGCACAGAACACAGTCTTCTTATGCTTAGGAACTTTAGACATTACTTTGGCACTACACATGGGGACCATTTTCAACAGTCAAATTACCACCAAAAAGCACAAAAATGTGAAGAATGTAGTTCTAAGGGACCATGAAAAGGATCCTTGTTTGTAATATGTGAGCAGAAACAAGAAGGCCAAGTGTTGCCTTGTTCAAACTTAGTTGGGAATATGCCCACTAGGTAACTCAAATTTTCACCTGCACACACTTATGAGTGACTATGAAAGCTCGACTAGTATTGAGTTTTGGGTCACAAAAAAATGTTAGGTAGCAGGCAAAAGCACAAATGTGGAATCCACAAACAACAAGGATTGCTTGTATTATGAAAAAAGGGAAAATCTTGTATGATTATTTTAGTCTATTCAGGCTGCTTTAACTAAATACCATAAACTGGGTAGCTTATAAAGAACAGAGATACATTTCTCACAGTTCTAGAGGCTGGGAAGTCCAAGATTAGGGGACCAGCATGGTCAGGTTCTGAAGGGTCCTATTCCAGGTTGCAGACTTCTGACTTCTCCCTGTATCCTCACATGGTGGAAGAAAAAAACCAAGCTCGTCCAGGTGTGGTGGCTCATGCCTAAAATCCCAGCACTTTGGGAGGCCAACGTGGGCGGATCACGAGGTCAGGAGATTGAGACCATCCTGGCCAACGTGGTGAAACCCTGTCTCTACTAACATACAAAAATTAGCCGGGCGTGGTGGCACATGCCTGTAGTCCCAGCTACTTGGGAGGCTGAGGCAGGGGAATTGCTTGAATCTGGGAGGCCGAGGTTGCAGGGAGCCAAGATCGCACCACTGCACTCCAGCCTGGCAAAAGAGTGAGACTTCATCTCAAAAAAAGAAAAGAAAGAAAGAAAAAAATCAAGGTCTCTCAGGCCTCTTTTGTAAGGGCATGAATACTGTTCATGAGAGCTCTACCAACATGATCTCATCACATCCCCAAATTTTATCACTAATGCCATCACCTTGGGGGTTAGGTTTCAACATTTAAATTTTAGAGGAACACATTCAGACCATAGCAGTGAATAAAGATAGACTGAGACAAATCAAAGATCACTCCTAGGTCCATCTAGTGCTTGAGGAACACGGTAGTCCATGTAAGGGAAGCCTGACTTTCTGTTTTAGATTGTTGCACTTGACATTCAAGTATAGATATGAAAGGAGTAGTTGGATATAATAGGCTGGAATTTAGGGCTGAGATATAAATTTGAGTGTTAATGGTATTTACAGCAACAGAACTGATTTTTGAAATCCAGTTTATTAATATAAAATATTTTTTGGAGATGGATTCTTGCTTTGTTACCCAGGCTGGAGTGCAGTGGCACAATCTCAGCTCACTGCAACCTCTGCCTACCAGGCTCAAGTGATTCTCCTGCCTCAGCCTTCTAAGTAGCTGGCACTACAGGTGTGGGCCACCACCCCCAGCTAATTTTTGTATTTTTTTTTAGTAGAGACAGAGCTTCACCATGTTGGCCAGGATGGTCTCCATCTCCTGACTTTGTGATGTGTCCACCTCAGCCTCCCAAAGTGTTGGGATTACAGGCGTCAGCCACCGCTCCCGGCCATGAAAGCTGTTTTAAATGTGGTGTCACAAGGAGTCTGTGGGTGAACTTCTCTTGCCCTGTAAATAAAGTGCAATGACCAACTCTGATGGATTTGGGGTCCCTGCTGCTTGTGGTTGGTATAGTGTCATTCCAGATGCATTTCATAGGCAAGGCATTAACAGGAACTGGTGCTTCTCTCTCCTTCAGTGAATTTGTGAACCCATGAAGACCCTTTCCAAAACCTCACTAGTCCTAGCCAATCTAGCAACCGTGGCCAGATATCATTTCAGAAGGTCCTTGAATCTCTTTGCTTGCAACTTTTATTGAGAATCATTCTGTTATGTTGTAACTTTATGTGAACATGTTTGTCCCCTAGATCAAGCCAAAATATGATCCGTGGCAAAAGAAGCTTTTGACTAAATTAAAAGAATGTAGAAGAACAGATGTGTTATTGTAACTCCAGGAAGTTTTTCAAGGTGAGAAAATAACCAAGCTTCCTTGTAGATAAGATTTTTGCTAAAATCATTCTCAAAATATGGAATTTTTCTTTCCCTTTTTAAAAATGTTATCTTGGATTCACTGTGATTGTTTTATTTGAAACTTTCTTTCCTTCCTTCCTTCCTCCTTTCCTTCCTTCCTTCCTTCTTTCCTTCCTTCCTTCCTTCCTTCCCTCCCTCCCTCCCTCCCTTCTTTCTTTTCTTTCTTTCTTTCTTTCTTTCTTTCTTTCTTTCTTTCTTTCTTTTCTTTTCTTTCTTCTTTCTTTCTTTCTTTCTTTCTTTCTTTCTTTCTTTCTTTCTTTCTTTCTTTCTTTTCTTTCTTTTCTTTCTTTCTATCTTTCTTTTTTCTTTCCTTCTTTCTTTCTCCTTCCTTCCTTCCTTCCTTCTTTCCTTCTTTACTTTCTTTCTTTCTCAGAGTCTCTTTCTGTCGCCCAGGCTGGAGTGCAGTGGTGTGATCTTGGCTCACTGCAACCTCCGCCTCCTGGGCTCAAGTGATTCTCCTGCCTCATCCTTCCTAGTAGCTAGGATTATAGACATAGGCTACTATGCCCAGCTAATTTTTGTAAATTTTTAGTAGAGGCGGGATTTTACCATGTTGGCCAGGCTGATCTCAAACTCCTGACCTCAAGTGACCCTACCACCTTGGCCTCCCAAAATGTTGGGATTATAGGCATGAGCTACCATGCCAGGCCTTATTTAGAACGCTTCAACATAATTTCCACACTTTAAAAATCCTGTTAGCTCTCAGTAGAGAATAAAAAATTGTCAAAAAGCTGGATTTTAGGGCCAGGCACAGTGACTCATTTCTAGTTTTATTCCACTGAGGTGTGAAAAGATACTTAATAGAATTCCAGCACTTTGGGAGGCTAAGGCAGGAGGATTGTTTGAGCCCAGGAGTTCAAGACCAGCGTAGGCAATAAAAAAAGACCCTGTCTCTACAAATTCTTTTTTAAAAAAATTAGCCATGTGTGGTGACACACACCCGTAGTCACAGTTACTTGGGAGGCTGAGATGGGAGGATTGCTTGAGCCCAGGAGGTCAAGATTGCAGTGAGCCATGATTGCGTCACTGCACTCTAGCCTGGGTAAGAGCATGAGACTCTGTCTCAAAACAACAACAACAACAACCAAAAACAAAACCCCCAAAACTGGATTTTAGTCCAGCTTTAACACCAACTCTCTGTGTGATACTGGTCTAGTTGTGTAACCTCCTTGAGCCTTAGTTTCTTCATCTGTGAAACAAAATATTAAACCAAATTATCTTTTAAAATATTTTCATTGACAAAAATTGTACATAATTATGGGATACAAAGTGACATTTTGTTATATACAATTTATAATTATCAAATCAAGGTAATTAGCATATCTATCTTCTCAAACATTTATTATTTCTTTGCCCTGGGAACATTCGAAACCCCTTTTTCTAACTATTTGAAAATATACAATAAATTATTGCTCGCTACAGTCACCTTACAGTGCTGTGGAACACAAGAACTTATTTTCCCTATCTACTGATAATTTTGTATCCTTTAAATAATCTCTCCCTATTCCACCTACACCGTTCCCAGCCTTAATAATCGCTATTCTACTTTCTACTTCTGAGATCAACTTTTTTAGTTTCTGAAAATGAGTAAGAACATGTGGAGAACATGAGTAAGAACATGTTTTTATCTTTCTGTGCCTGGCTTATTTCATTTAACATAAAGTGCTCTAAGTTCATCAATGTTGCAAATGACAGGATCTCATTCTTTTTATGGCCAAATAGTATTCCATTGGATATATATAACACATTTTCTTTATCCATTCATCTGTTAATGGACACTTTTATGTTGCTTATTGTGAATAGGCCTGCAATAAACATGGGAGTACAGATATCTGTTCAATATACTGATTTCCTTTTTTTTTTTGGATTTATACCCCATAGTGAGATTGCTGGATCATGTGGTAGTTCTATTTCTAGGTTTTTGAGGGACCTCCATACTTTTTCAATAATGGCTATGGTAATTTACAGTTCAACAGTGTATGCAAATTTCCTTTTCTCTGCATCCTTGCCAGAATTTGATTTTTTTGTTTTTGTCTTTTTGTTAATAGTCATTCTAACTGGAATGAGATTATATCACACTGGGGTTTTTTTTATTTGCATTTGGTGATTAATGATGTTGAGCATTTTTCATGTGCTTGTTGGTCATTTGAATGTCTTCTTTTGATAAATATCTATTTAGAATCATTTTCTCAGTTTAAAATCCAATTATTTGTGTGTGTGTGTATGTGTTTAGTTTGATATAATCCCATTTGTCTATTTTTGCTTTTGTTGCCTATGCTTTGGAGATTATATCCATAAAATCTTTTCTTAGACCAATGTCCTGAAGTGTTTCTCCTTATAGTTTCTTCTAATAGTTTTATAGTTCAGAGTCTTATATTTAATCTTTAATCTATTTCGAGTTGATTTTTGTATATGGTGAGAGGTAAGGGTTTCATTTTTCTGCGTATCCAGATATCCTTATCCAGCCCCATTTATTGAAGAGACTGTTCTTTCTGCAGTGTACGGTTTTGGTGCCTTTGTTAAAAATCAGTTGACTATAAATATGTCGATTTATTTCTGGATTCTCTGTTCTGTTTCATTGATCTATGTACCTGTTTTTATGCCAGTACCATGCTGCTTTGTTACAGCATATTTATAGTATATTTTGAAGTCAGATAATGTGATACTACCAGCTTTGTCCTTTTAAGTCAGGATTGCTTTGGTTGTTTGGGTCTTTTGTGGTTCCATATATATTTTAGGATTATTTTTTCTATTTCTGTGAAGAATGTCAGTGGTATTTTGATAGGGATTGTTTTGAATCTGTGGCTCAATTTGAGTATGGTCATTTTTAACAATACTAATCTTTTCAATCCATGAACATGGTATTTCTTTCAATTTTTTTGTGTCTTCTTTCATTTCTTTCATTGGTACTTTTTAGTTCTTATTGTAGAGTTCTTTCACCTGCTTGGTTAATTGTATTCCTATGTAATATTTTTCATAACTATTGAAAATGTAATTGCTTTCTTTTTTTCTTTTTAAGCTAGATTGTTATTGGTTTAATAGAAATGCTAATACATTATGTATGTTGATTTTGTATCCTGCAATTTTACTGAATTTGTCTATCAGTTCTAAGAGTTTTTGGCAGAGACCTTAGGTTTTTCTACTTATAAGATCACATTGTCTGCAAAAAGACAATTTGACTTCCTTTTTTTCCAATTTGGATGCCCTTTGTTTTTTAATTTTGTCTAATTGCTCTGGCTAGGACTTATAATACAGTGTTAAATTGTAGTGGGGAAAGTAGTCACCCTTATATTGTTCCATCTATTAGAGGAAAAAGTTGAAAACTTAGTTGTAAGTTTGTCATATGTGGACTTCGTTATGCTGAGGCAAATTTCTTCTATGCCTAATGTGTTGAGACTTTTTATCGTAAAGGGATGTTGAATTTTATCAAATGCTTTTTCTGTCCCTATTGAAATGATCATGTGTTTTTGTTCTTCATTCTCTTTGTGTGATGCATCATGTTTATTGATTTGTGTATATTGAATCACCCTTGCATCTCTGGGATAAATCTCACTTGATCATGGTGTGTTAATCTTTTTGATGCCCTGTTGGATTTAGTTTACTACTGTTTTGTTGAAGATTTTTGCATTCATGTTCATCAGGAATATTAGCCTGTAGTTTTCTTTTTTCGTTATGTTCTTGTCTGGGTTTTGCATTAGGGTAATATTGGCCTTGTAGAATGAATTTGGAAGAATTCCCTCCTTTTCATGTTTTTGGAATAGTATAAGAAGAATACGTGTTAATTCTTTAAAAGTTTGGTAAAATTCATCAGTGAAGTCAACCAGCTCTTGGCTTTTCTTTGTTGAGAGACTTTTTATTATTGATTCAGTCTTGTTCTTTGTTATTGGTCTGTTCAAGTTTTCTACTTCTTCCTGGTTCAACCTTGATAGGTTGCATGTGTCCAGGAATTTCTCCATTTTCTCTAGGTTTTCTAATTTGTTGGCATATAGTTGTTTATGATAGTCTTTAATGATCCTTGTATTTCTGTGATATCAGTTTTAATGTCTCCTCTTTCATTTTTAATTTAATTTATTTAGATTTTTTTTTGTTAGGTAGTCTAGCTAATGGTTTTTCAATTTTGTTTATCTTTTCTTTCTTTCTTTTTTTTTTTTTTTTTTTTTTTTTTTTTTTTTTTTTTTTTTTTTTTTTTTTTTTGTGGTGTTTTCCTCTTGGTGCCCAGGCTGGAGTGCAATGGTGTGATCTTGGCTCACCTCAACCTCTGGCTCCTGGGTTCAAGCAACTCTCCTGCCTCAGCCTCCCAAGTAGCTGGAATTACAGGCATCCACCACCACACTCAGATACATTTGTGTTTTTAGTAGAAACAGGGTTTCTTCGTGTTGGTCAGGCTGGTCTTGAACTCTCGGCCTCAGGTGATCCACCTGCCTCGGCCTCCCAATGTGCTGGGATTACAGGCATGAGCCACCACACCTGGCCTGTTTGCCTTTTAAAAAAACCAGCTTTTTGTTTCATTGATCTTTTGTATTGTTTTTAGTTTTTAAATAATTTATTTCTGTCTTGATCTTTATTATTTATTTTTTTGTATTTATATCAGATTTGGTTTGTTCTTGCTTCTTTAGTTCCTTGAGGTATGACATTAGGTTGTTCATTTGAAAATTTACTACTTTTTGGTGTAGGTGTTTGTTGCTATAAACTTCCTTCTTATACTCCTTTTGCTGTATCCTATAGGCTTTGGTATGTTGTGTTTCTTTTTTTTTTCTTTTTTGAGAGGGAGTCTTACTTTGTTGCTCAGGCTGGAGTGCAGTGGCACAATCCCAGCTCACTGCAATCTTCACTGCTGGGTTCAAGTGATTCTTCTGCCTCAGTCTCATGAGTAGCTGGGATTACAGGTGCCCGCCACCACACCTGGCTACATTTGTATTGTTAGTAGAGAT